AATTACCTAGTCTTCAGATTAGGGCAAAGAATAAACCAGCAAAAAATCTAGCTGAGAACTTAGATGGAACTTTAGGACGACAACTGCATCGACATAAGGAAACGAGTTTTGGAACAGGAATAGTGGATATTGTTGCTCTTCGGAAACGAAAAAGAAATAAAATGGCAAAGTGTTTGTAGGAAAATTCAGCATATTTATATTGGAGCTCCTAAAAGCAACAGACCAAATCAGGGAGTGTCTCTATTAAATCGTAAAAAGCTAAAAAAGACAAATTATACGATTCAGAAGCTATAAATGCAAGAATAGTGACTGCATCTTGTTACAAAAGAAGAGGTCACCGTTCTAGAAAAAATTAGTTTCATGAACAACTTAAAGATTTACTTATAAAAGTCGGTGATCAACGAAGAATCAAAGAGCACTTCATTCGCGGAGAACTTCATTGGAGGAAGTTAATGCAACTTGGACTTGAAAAATTTATACTACATGGTAATCACAAAACAGTATATTGAATTGGTCAAATTGCTTACAGCAAATGAATAGTCAGCTAACAGAGTGATGTAATGGAATGAAAAACGAAAAAGATGCAAGATATAAACGAATAATTCGAAACAAAAATAAAATATGAGAAAAGAAGTGTCCGGAAATAGAATCATACATAAAAGGAGCAAGGTCATTAGAATCATGGAAATTAATTAATTAACGTTTAGAATCACTAAAGGCCTTTAGACAGGACTGCTGCTTGTCCCCAATAGTATTTAAAATTTATCTGAACGAATCACATAGATGACATAACACTCTATATACTTCTCACTTTATTGATGACAAACTATTTGCTGGCTTTGAAAATGGTCATTGCACAGGATAAACAGGATCTGGAATTTATGTCAAGGACATGTTTTGACAAATATGAAATTTGCGGTGTACAATCAATTTTAAGAAGACTAAATCTGCAGAGTAATCTTGACTTGCAAGACATCGGAACGTGATGTCACATAGTTTGTTATTGTTGGTCAACTTAAGTTACAGTTAGGGTATTGTAGAGTCTGATTTTATGCTGTGGAACATTTCAATTTATGCGTAGTAAAATCGGCCACCAGTCTATATCAAAAAATACGATCTAAGGTTTTTCTGTGGACCTGTCTTTAAAAACATCGTCTTATATGGAAATTGAAGGAAGTGAACCTTGCAAATTATTAAAGAACCTTGAATGAAGGCTATTAAATAGATTACTTGATCAGCTAGGGTAACCAGAATAGATAGAGTAAGGAACGAAAAAATAAGGGAAATTGAAGGTGGGCAAAGTAATAATAGAGGATATTCAAAACAGCTAATCTAGTATGGACAAGTTGAGAGAATGGCAGAACTAAGAATTCCAAAACTTGCTCTTCAAAGCGTACTGACAGAAAAGATAAAGCGAGAAAGACCAAAGGTTTGAAACCTGAGACTATTAGAAGAGTGTTAAGAAAAATCGGTATCCGGAGCATGATACAGAAAAACTTATACTACAAAAGTTGTAGCAAATTGTACCCTTAACACAATGGTCTGTAACATTTTTGCTCCCATATGCATCAATGTGGAGAATTTTTAAAAAATGTGAAAATTAGAAGAGTGTTAAAAAAAATCGTTATCCGGAGCGTGATACAGACCAAGGAGACTGGTTTAGGAGACTAATAGAAGAGGCTGAAAGATGGAAACCGGAAGGTGAAGGAGAAATGAAATGTTAAAAATGGGATTTTCAATAAAAACTCATACAAACTCGGTTTCAATAACAAATTTAACTTTTACATTTAAAAATAAACTAAAATAAAATGAGATTTTAATCTTTAAGTTTGACAATTCACCTCAAATGTGCCTGTTTCAACCAACATAGCAAAGAGAAAGCATATTTCAATTAAAAACATGTTAAATTAAAGTTTCCAATATCATTTAAGGCTATAAAACCACACAACTTCCTTGAAAAGCGATCTGTAACGTTGAAATTGTTATGAATAAGACTAAAAACGGTATACATTCCAATAAAAAATGTATAATTTTGATAACGACAATAATTTGAATATCAAATTTGACACAGGTTTGGTAACTAAACCAAATGAAATGAAAAAAAAGGTAGTCATCACTCTAAATTTTGAAAGCAAAATAATTTTTTTTTAAAATGCAGTAAAACTGTTGAGGATGTGAAAAGCTTATAAAACGTTCTTGGCCAGTGGTTTTAAATTTATTTTGGAACGTTGCGAATATCGGATGACTTGTAAACCAGCTCCCACACACTCACACGGAAAATTGTGTATTTACGAGAATACTTTTAAGCGTTGAAGCTATTCCAAGTGATTTCAAGAATGAGATAAGTTCAAAATTGAAAAGAAAAAAATACAAATCAACTTTAATCAAAAAATAATTTGAACAAAAAAGATTTTTTAATTTATTTTTAACTTTTCTTTTCTTTACATTCCGTTTTTAAAGTGCGCCAAAAACGGCTGCCCTCAAAACCACCATGAATCACATCTCGTTTAGTTAGAATTTTCTTTACGTAATTAAAATGTATCTGAAAACTTTTGAAAAACTTACCGCTTTTTCCATGTCCGTCCTGTATATCACCAACGTCCATATCCATTAACGCAACTCGTCTCACTGATTACTTCCATCTCTAATCTATCCTTAACATTTAATAAAGACAACGTCTATAAAGGCCTATCTTAAATTGTCTATCTATCTATATAGTTGAGTTGTCTGGGTATTTAACGTTGTTTTTTGTCCTTTTTCGATATAGTTATAGATCGCGCACCTCGCGAGCGAATAGAAAGCCCCCCGTCGATGGTATTCGAACTACGTGTCTTGGTGGATGCACCTAGAACGACGGCACCTTTCGATTAACTAAAATCATTTCGAAGCTATCCTTGCTGGGGAACCATCCGTGGAAATACGACTGGTAGTGTGTGTGTATTCGCGATGGTTATTTTTGGATTGGGCTATATTTTGACTGTGTGCTCGATGACGTGCCCCAGTTTTTTCTTCCATTGCGAATTTTCATTGAAAATTTATTTTATCACCTTTTCTTTCATTAATTAAATAAAAGAAAAGTTTAAAGCACACTTTCGAATTTTTGTGTTCAAATAAAATTATAAGGATATTATCTTATTTTTAATTCTTTATAATTTTTAAAATTCCAATTAAAGATTTTAAATTGACTTTTTATCAATAGATGACGTTTAGATCAAAAATTGAGTAATTTCTGGCTTTGATTTTAAATGTACAATATAAACAAATAAACAGGAACAAAGAGCAGAATACACTCGTAATTGCGACTCGTATTTGCTCGTAGAAAGCGTGATTGTTGTGTCAGATGGTACAATGACAATCTCAGGAAAATGCGTGCTGGTTAAATGAAAATACAGTCAACGATAAAAGCAACCTAAATAGTAATCTTGATCCGAATGTGCTGAATAGGTTTTTCGTTGATACTCCCAATGATATCGTTGAAGGGCTTCCATGTAGTGTGTTTGATCCCATTCTCGTATGTGAATGTGTGGATCAAATGGTAGCTCAATTTCATTTTTCAGAAGTTGGTCCTATTAAAGTACGTGAGCTGCTCTGTTCATTGAAGAATAGTTCTACACGTGATGTTTTTTCCATCCCAACTTATTTTATAAAGAGGAATGTAGAAGTGTACGTACTGCCGTTGACAAAAGTTCAAAATTCAGTATTTGCTGATTCTCAGATTGTAGATCTTTGTTTATTAAGTTTCAGATTCTGACCTTGCCTTCACTTTACGTTCTTCAGTCAATTATACATGCACATAAACGTATTGGTCAGATGCCTACTCATGGAGATCTTCATACTATAATATGAGATATACGGAGATAATGTATATGTTCAGTATCGCAGATTGACTAGAGGGCAGCGGGGATCGAATTACATGAGTCAGGTTTTATATAACAGGCTGCCAGCTGGCGTTCGTGACTTGACGCTGGCTAGTTTAACGTCTAAGCTCAGGTCGTATCTAATTGTAAAGGCGCTCTACTCTGTTGACGAGTTTTTGCAGAGTGATGTTGTAATATAGTGAAACGCTGCGTGTTCGTATAAATGTGTAATAAGCGTTAGTAATAGTAGTGGTAATGGGTTTATAACCCTTACCAATCATATGATGTAACCTCCCTCCTTTTGATTTTTAATTATTAGTGTATTTTTGACGAGTGTAAAAGGACAACCTTATGGCACAATAAACGATTATATATATTATATATACTTTTGTGCACTGCTTTCTCTAGCAGGCAGAAGCCTTCTATCATATTGCAGTGATGTCAGCATCATCAGCAAAAGCCAGTATTTGCACGATTTTGTTGATAATTCTGCCTCTGGTGTTCTCGTATGATCGTCAAGTATCGTGTTGATGAGTATGTATCAGAATTTTGGTGTTGTTTCATTTCGTATTCTTGCTACACTTTCCATCTCTAATTATCTGAGTTTACTGTTTATAACCTCTCTTTTTTCCGTCTATGAGCCCTCTTTTATTCCACCATCGTGCTCTGTGTTCTTTCTTCGTTTGTCTGCTGTAGTTTTATACCATAGGCTTGAGTCTTCATCAAACCAGTCCATTAAACTAGTTTTCTTTCAAATCCTAGAACTTTTACTACGGCCTCACGTATATTACATGTTAACAGTTTCGCTCTTTCGTCAATTTCTAAGTAGTATTAGTAGAAACGATAAAGATATATATTTCATTAATTATTGTGCTTATGAATTACTGGAAAGAAACCATAAAGATTATTTACATTAAAAATTTGAACTTTGAAAGTATTCATTTATTTTGAATGTCAGCCGATAGATGGAGGTATAAGTAAAAACATAAAGAAGTAAATTAAAATAAAAAGGAGAAATTTTATAAAAAAGAATCATATTTGTAAAACGTTTTACTTCAAAATGGTCATATTGAATAATAAAAAATTTAAATTAAAATTATAAATAAATTTTATGTCAAATAATCTAATTGTTATCTTTTTCAATGTGTTATTTTACCTAATGTCATTAAACGTCAACTTAAAATAACCTATTCATTATTTTTTTGTGTATCTGACCGTTAACTTTTTATTAACAACCAAAATGGATCAGGTAATTTTAATTTTACTTATTTATTATAAAATATTAATTATTTTCTTTTCTAATACTATATAGACACAAAAAAGGGTTGTCCCACCGGTTCTACGAAAAATTTTGACCCTAGATGAACAATTAACAGAGAAATTCGTTTTGTGGATGAACAAATTTGTTACTTTTCGTTCTATGAAAGTCCATTACAAAGCATTAGAGGTATTTATATTGATAATAGTGTAATTGTAACCTCAAACAAATTTTTTTTATAGATAAGTTGTCATGGAATTCCATGGTTAGCTTTTTGGATAGCTTTCACATGGCTTTTTGATAACCAAAACTTAGTCCAAATGCAAGTAAACATAATCTTGGGTCTTTTATTAGATATAATCTTAGTAGCTTTAACAAAAGCTTATGTACGTAGACGTCGTCCAAAAGCTCACATTAAAGACTCCATGGAATTGGGTCCGGACGTGTTTAGTTTTCCTTCGGGTCACGCCAGCCGAGCTGTGTTTGTAGCTTACTTTTTTATTTGTTTGCAATCAGCACATTTTATCTTTTACGGCCCGTTAATAGCTTGGGCCACTTCAGTATCAATTAGTCGTGTTTTATTAAATAGGCATCATATTTTGGATGTTTTGGCGGGTGTTTTATTGGGATTAATCGAAGGAGTACTTGTGGGATGGATTTATGTTGATGATTCAACAGCAAAATGGTTAATGAATTATTTAAGTGATGAGAAATTAGATGGAGGAGACTATCATGTTTGATTATCCAAAGATAAGATATATTGTTGAATTTTAACAGTTATTATAAAGATAATAAATTTTTTTGTTACAATTCATTCTTTTTCGGTTTGGATAAGAAATATTCATTTTCTTCAAATCCTAAATTATCCCACATTGATTTGTGTCGATTTATTTCTTTTACATCTTCTAATATAATATTTTGTGGTGATTTTATGTGGAGTTGTATTAAGGAGTCATCATCTTTTTTAGAAATAGCCGGCCATTTTACATTTTCTACTTTTGGATTTCTACAAAATAATAAATTTAAATCAAATTTATTAACTAAAATTTTTATTTACCCTGTTTTAATAAAACTCATCCAAATATTTAATAATATCTCTTGCATATTTTCATCTAATTTGGTTAACTTTTGAGTTTTATTTGGGATTGAAAACAAATACATCATATCATCACCATGTGCTGTACCTATTTAAAAAATTATTAATTAAAATAATAAATATAAGAGAGATTTATTTACCATGTGATTGATCTTTTCCAGTGATATGAATTGTTAAACTTTCTAAAGTATCTCCCATAAAACTAAAATAATACATGAAAACGGGTGATTTTGAGACTTTTGCTTGAATTTTTGCTGCTTTTTCGGTATAAACGCTAAATAATCGATCGCTCATCATCTAAAATTGATTAATATAAATTTTTTTAAAAAGTATTTAAGTAAATTTCTTCTAAACATTATTCAAAAGATGACGTCATCTTAAAAAGGATATTTTTAGTTAATGCACTCACATCAATTAATTCTTTATAAGTATCTTTTGAAATAGGTTTATCTCCCAAATACTCTTTCTTAATTATCTGAGAAACTTGATCTAATCTTTCGGGTGGTATGGAATAAAAATAATCTAAAACAAAAGGAGCGAATTCGTTCCATTTACTTTCCAAGTCCTCCAAATAATGATCTTTTAAAACATAATCTAAAATTAATATTAATTTTTATCACGATAATTTTTTTTAAATTTATTTTTACCAGCTCCAGGATATAAACCTTCTTCAGACGTTAAAGAAGTTAACCATGGTAAATCATGAATTTTTCCGTTTGATAATAAAACGTAAGGATGTTGGTCTAAAAATTTATTTTTTCCAGCTTTTTCAACAACCAACCCTAAAGGTGAAAATGGATTATATAACCATGGTCGTAAAAGTTTAGTAACAGCAACGATTTGTTTAGCTGGGCGCGTTTTTAAACAATCCACCATTAACTTTGTATTTGTCGTCTCACAACCAATTTTGTTTGCTAAAAACCGAACCTTTTCTAGCGGATTTTCTTGAAAAGTCCACGGGGCTAAGGCGGATCCACTCGCTGAAATTCCTTTTTGAAATAAACCTTTCGATAATTTCGATAAATAATGGTAATGCACGCTTGCTCCTCCAGCTGATAATCCCGTTATTGTTACTGAGTTAGGATTACCCCCAAAACTTTTGATATTTTTCTTTATCCATTTTAAAGCCATCACTTGATCTTTCATTCCCATATTACCAGGAACTATGTCATCTTCGGTACTCATAAAACCTAGATTATAATTAAATTTTTTTTGAAGTATTAAAGTTAGTTAAGTATACAACTTTTAATTCTTTTTATTGTTCATAATAAACAATTAGAAAGTGGGAAGCTGAGGTTGCTTGCGGCCCAGGCATTATGTTGGGTGTACAATATATAAATTTATTTCGGGTTTGTCAATGACGATTAAATAAGTTTGAAGCCGAGGTCGCTTGCGGCCGAGGCAATTTTTTAGAATGGTATATTTTAAACTTTTTTAGTATATGATTGACGATCGAGAATCCTTGAAGCCGAGGTCGCTTGCGGCCGAGGCAGTATTTTAGGAAAACACATTAAAGATTTTTGATATACTATTGACGATGGAGAATCTTTGAAGCCGAGGTCGCTTGCGGCCGAGGCAGTATGTTAGGAAATCACATTAAAGATTTTTGGTATACCATTGACGATGGAGAATCTTTGAAGCCGAGGTCGCTTGCGGCCGAGGCAGTTTTTTAGGAAGACATATTTTTAAGGTTTTTTTAGTATATCATTGACAATGGAGAATCCTTGAAGCCGAGGTCGCTTGCGGCCGAAGCAGTGTTTTAGGAAAACATAGTAAAGATTTTTGGTGTACTATACAGGTGTCTCAGTGAGACCGGTCATTAGACGTTTCTGGGGTTCTGGCCTAAATAAAAATTTGAGAATTCAGATTTAAGTATTATCAATTGCGTTCTCTTCGACTAAAATATTTTCAAATTTCTAGCACTTCCGGTTATATCGGAAGTTGCCACATACTTTATTTTTTTAAATGGAACTCTCTATATTTTTACATATTTGGATTTGTCTATTTTCAAGGTTTATGAATAACTTTACTTTTTCCAATGTGATTCGGCCGTTCTCGAGTTATTCGAACTTTTCTCGAAAAATCTGCTCCAGCAGACATTTGTTCAAAAAATCAGAGAACACTCGATTTTTGGGATATCAATTTAGGATTCAGAACATGCTTAAGCAACATGATGGAGTATCCTTTGGTGCCGAGAACGGCTGTCTAGATCGTTTGGTCACTTTACTATGGCACGTTAACTTTTCGAACTTTGGAAGTACCATAACTTCATTTTTTTAAATGGCACCCCCCATATTTTATTACTTAGTCGTCTTTGGCGTCTCATTTTACATCTTTTATATCCCATTATGTCCTATACCTAACATTAATAGTTTGGGAAATAATTAGGGTTTTTTGAAAAATGCCGAAAATTTATCCATATTAACCTAGTGAGCCATGGAAAACAAATGTTTAATGACTTATTGACAAACGTCAAAGTCTGATTTACGTTGTTTGATGCTTATTATTCTAAAATCAGTTAAAATGGATATTAATAACGTAAATAATGTTTATACAAATGAAAAAATCCTTAATTTATTTTTTATGCACGGAAACTGCGAGGAAGTTCTTAGTAGAACTTGTAGAATGTTTAATGAAAGCTATCCCCATTTGCCTCCGATGACAAAAGGTAAATTTAGAAGAATAGAAGCAAATTTTTTGCATTTTGGACGAATTAATCACGTGTTAAACTGGCCAAAAAATGTAGTAGATAAGGCAGCGGAAGAGGTGGATACCTTGACTTATTTCGAGTACAGTCGCAACGCCTTTTATTCGAGCTGCCAAAGAAGATCTGAGAATCATACTACGAACTTTGTCGCGCTTTTCATGTATAAAATAGTTATTTTTGATACAAGATAGCGAAATGACATGAATTTCAGAGAATTGAAGAATTTCGCTGTCGTTGTGTATTTAAACATGAAATGAAAACATAAAATAATTAAATGTTGATTATTTTGTGTCTATAATTTGTTCATAACAATAAATTAACAATTAATAGTATCAAATTCTTTGATTGTCGTAGCTGGACGTAATAAGATTTTAGTAACATTTTATAGAACCAGTTCAAGTTGGTGACATTGGGTCATTAATTTTTCTAGTTGTCAATGTGATGTTTGTCTATGGATGTTTAAACACGTTTTTAGCATCGAAGACAAGGTCCACAATGATGAGGACATTGAACTCTGAGCAATTTCTCTTATTTTGGGAAGTGTACATGAAACATTTTTATTGGGTGAATACATTTTGTGTTTTGACAGTTTCTAATTGTCAATTCAAGTTTTTATTTTCAAGTGTTACGGTGTTACCAACTGCTACATACCTATTTCCCTACATTGTCAAAATATATTTTATTTTTGAGAAAAAAAAGGGTAAAAACGCGAATTACAAAAAATAGCATAAAAAACAGGTTTCATAAGACTTAAAGCACTCATTCATTAAGAAACTCGTGGCTTCGTTTTTCAACTTGAATTCATGCATTTCAAACGTGTCTTACGAAACTTGTTTTTTAATATACTATTACGTCCTGTTGACAAGAAACTATCGTTCAAATCAAAAATCATAGTTTCCTCACTTATACTGTAACAAACTATTACACAAATCAAGAAATTCTAAATTTATTTTTTCGAAAACTGCTATTAAAAGTTGACTTTTGCATAATACTAAGCGACCGTCAAGCTAAGTATTATGCAAAAGTCAACTTTTAATAGCAGTTTTCGAAAGAATAAATTTAGAATTTCTTGATTTGTGTAATAGTATATTTCGTTATTGTTATCGATTTTAACTCTTTTTAGTACTAATATTAAGAGACCTAACAGATAATTATTAGCTCACATGTATCAAGTGACGTAAACAAGTGAGACTTTGTCAAGAACTCATTGAGAAGGCTTGTTTTCCATGGCACACTAGGTTAAATATCGATATATGTGTGCATTTTTCAAAAAACCCTAATTATCTCAAACTATTCATGTTAGGTATAGGACATATGGGATATAAAAGATGTAAAATGAGATACCGAAGACGACTAAATAATAAAATATGGGCGGTGCCATTTAAAAAAATGAAGTTATGGTACTTCTGAATTTCGAAAAGTTAACGTGCCGTAGTAATGTGACCAAACGTTCTAGATAGCCGTTCTCGGCACCAAAACATCCTCCATCATGTTGCTTAAGCATGTTCTGAATCCTAAATTGATATCCCAAAAATCGAGTGTTCTCTGATTTTTTGAACAAATGTCTGCTGGAGCAGATTTTTCGAGAAAAGTTCGAATAACTCGAAAACGGACGAATCAAATTGCAAAAAGTAAAGTTATTCATAAACCTTGAAAACACACAAATCCAAATATGTAAAAATATACAGGTGTTCCGTTTAAAAAAATAAAGTAGGTGACAACTTCCGGTATAACTGGAAGTGCTAGAAATCTGAAAATAATTTAGTCGAAGAGAACGCAATTGATAATACTTAAATCTGAATTCTCAAATTTTTATATTGGCCAGAACCCCAGAAACGTCTAATGACCGGTCTTGCTGAGACACCCTGTAATCCCTGTATATTGACGATAGAGAATCCTTATCCGAGGTCGCTTACGACCGAGGCAACTTTTCAGCAAAAAAAAGAAAAAAAAAAGACAAACTGCCTCGGCCGCAAGCGACCTCGGCCTCATACTTATTTGATTATCATCGGTAAACCCGCAAATTTTTTATTTATTGTGTACCTACTAATCTAATGCCTCGCCCGCAAGCGACCTCGGCTTGAAACTTGTTTGACCGTCACTGACAAACCCAAAGAAAAATTATATGTTGTACGTCCAATCTAATACCTCGGCCGCAAGCGACCTCGGCTTCAAAGATTCTCAACTGTCAATGATATACTACAAAATTTTTAAATATTTCTTCCTAAAAAACTGCCTCGGCCGCAAGCGACCTCGGCTTCAAATTTGTTTGATCGTCACTGATAAACCCGGAAATAATTTATGTATTGTATATCCAATCTATTGCCTCGGCCGCAAGCGATTTCGGCTTAAACAATTCTCAATCGTCATAAATTTACCAAAAAGTTTTAAAATATGTTTTCTTAAAACACTGCCTCGGCCGCAAGCGACCTCGGCTTCAAACTTATTTAATCGTCATTGGTCAATCTCAAAAAAATGTTATGTATTGTATACCTAATCTATTGTCTTGGCCGCAAGCGACCTCGGCTTAAAAATTTATTACAAACCTAAGTAACCTAATCTGTAATTTAAAGTAACCAAAATAACTGGTTTATCCATCAAAAAATTTGGGCCGGCATAATATCCACCAGTTCCGAACATAAAAGCACCTCCGTGAAAATGAACAACAACGTCCAAAAGATTATTTATTTGATCCGGGTATTTAGAAGGAACGAATACATTTAAATAAAGACAATCTTCATCTCCTTTTAATAGATAACTTGGATTAGTTATATCATTACGTATAGACTATTTATTATTTTTATTTACCAAGTAAAGGGCCACCTTCTGGAATCGGAGCATGACTAATTTGGATACAAGCAATTCCAGTTTGATTCGCCGTCCAAGTTCCGGGCCAAGGTTTAATTTCAACTGGCTCCTATTAACCCAATTTTAATTTTTTTGTACAAAAAGAAGTACAACTCACCTCGAATCTTAAATCACCTATTGGAGGTTGAGCGAAAGGAATACCATAAAAAGACGAGAAAGTTTTTTGTTTATAACTTCTTTCATAAATACCACTAATTAAACCCAAAGGAGTTTTAACTATTGGTGCATTGTCGTCGATTTGAAACGTTAAGTTAACTTGTAATAAAATTACGAAGAAATTTATTATTGGTAGGACTCTCATGGTTAACCAAAATAACTAGCTTACAACTTACAAATCAATTTGCAAAACAACTTGCATAATTTTCCTTTTTATATACGAACGTTATCTTAACAGTTGCGCTATTTATAAACGTATTTATGTACTCTGGACATATTATTTAAGGAATTTAACCCACTGAAATTAAAATGTTTAGGGAATTCTATATTCAGGAATTTATGTAAACTATTTTATCAACAACTGTTTAACCGAAGTAATGTTTTGTTACCACATACATTTTATTTCATGTAATTTATATTATTGAAATAGCTGGATCAGTAGAATGATCTCCCTCACACTTAAAAAACAAACGCTGATTTAGAATTTAAAACGAAGATGTGCTAAAGTAAAGATGACATGTAATCTCGTGTCATCTTTGTATTTCAAAGATGAATGTCTCTACTCATTTCTGATATAATGTTTTATAAGATAACAACTTAAATGTTGTGTCAAAGCCTGAAAAATTAATTATACAGCATTATTAGCTTGTTAGGAATAAATTAATAAACAACAAACTTTATTATCATACATATATTTATTCAATTTGCATATTTTTTTAAATAATTTTGTTTCATTCTTCATAGGTCCATACATTTAACATCAAGCTTATCGTAGTAAGAAAGAATCTATATAGATATTCTGATAGCACTTGCTGCAACCAAAAACAAACGTGTTGATACAGCAGTTTTGTAAACGATTTTTGATAAATAGGTACATTAATATTTGCATCATATAAAATTAAAAACATCGTTTTGATTTCTTTAAGATCTTTTAAAATTGCATCTTCAATCATTTTTTTTTCAATCAATTTACTTAAATAATATATCTAAAATTACTAAATCACAACTTAACGAGAAGAGTCTTAAAACTGGTAACGTGAGTCATTAATAAATTAAGTGAATTTAAATATTAAAAAAATAAATTTGTGCTAAATTAGAAAATAAATAATTTACAACTAGAAAAAGTTAAGTCTTTATAAAAACTATAATTAATTTTTTAGTAGCACATTAACACCTAGAATATGTGCATAGAATATGCGCATCCTTTGGAATGTATAATAACATCGGTTAATTTAAACTAAATATTAATTAAGACTTTGTGTTAATTTTGGAAGACAACTATAGTTGAATTACATTTCAATAAGCGCCAAAGTACAAAAGAAAGCAATTTCTCGCGTTTTCTACATTTTATTCTCTACCAAAGCTTATTGTGATAAAATTTTAAATCAAAATAACCCTGATCAGTTAAATGACTCGGTGTTTTTTTCTTTTCTTCGTTTCCCTTTTCATCATCAATTTTGCGACCACTTTTCGCTTCATCAATATCAATCGATTTTAACTTCTCAATTACTTCTTCTTCTTTTAAACCACCATCATTTTCTTTTTCCCCATCTTGTTCTGTCGAACCATCCACTTGTTTTAAATAGTCCACCTGATCTTGTTCTTCACTGGTTTGTAATGAAAGGGATTGGGGACGTTCCAATTTAGGGGGATGAGGAACTTCTTTTATCGTTGATGAGTTGTCTTCGTGTTTTTCATCTTCGTTTTGATTTTGAGCCTCATCATCGTTTGTACTGGAATTGTTTATATTTTGCGGGATGCACTCAGTCAAGGTGTAAATGTGCAATATTTTTTTTATTTGTTGTAATTATTTTTTTGTTGTTGGTGTTATTGGGAGTATATTCGGGACCTTTATTGAACGAAAAAAATAATAAAAATAAAATTAAAATAAATAAAATAAAAAAAGGATAAAAAAAAATAAAAAAACAATTAAATTAAAAAACTTTCTTTCAATCTTCCTGTTTGTGTCTGCTTGAAGATTAGAAACAAAAACATATCATAAAAAGGAAGGATAGTTTTGTGTTGAGTTTTTTTTAGACAAAGATTAACTTACCATCAATTTTTAAGTTGATTTAAGAGATAAAGACCAAAATCAAAAACTTACCATTTATAAATTAATTGTTGAAAACTTTTCTTTTTAAGATATTAAATATTTTAGTTTATTTCAACAACAAATAATTTACTATACAATTTCACACAAATTTTATTTCACCACAATTTAATAACCCAAAACCACTTCCAATGTTTATTAACGAGCTTCAATAGGTTGCATATCACTGTAAAAGAAAAATCACTTGCTCATCTAAATTTCTAAGTATCCAAGTACAAACCCTCCAGCGTTTGGCATGTTATTAATTCCACCTCCAACTTTCGTATAGGAAGCAGAAACTTGAACATTTCCTTGAATATTCTCTGCAGCTTTATTCGTATCTTGCGTTCTATAACTCTGTGGTGGTACTTGAGTCCTGTGTTGTTGATGACCAACAGCATTTTGCGTCGCATTATAAGTAGTTGTATTTATCGCACTTTGAGCTTCAGCAACTTGCGTCATTTGAGGTTGTTGATTCGCTCTCAAATTCGGGTGGGAAGCGTATACTTGTGGGATTTGTTGTTGTTGTGTAGGTATTTGTGCTTGTAATTGATGAACAGAAGGTTGAGGGACAATTGGTGTTTGTTGCATTGAAATTAATTGATGTTGCGACGGTTGAACGACCGTTTGGTTTTGAACAGGTTGATATTGTATTTGTTGGTTCGAGATCGGAGTTTGCAACTGTTGATTTGAGAACGGAACTTGTAATTGTTGAATAGATGGTTGTTGATTACCCTGCATTTGAATCGGCGCAATTTGAATTTGTGATTGTTGCGGGACCGGTTGAGCAGTGTTAACTTGAACTGTTGAAGGTACTGCAATTTGTTGTATAGATTGTTGTGGTTGCATATAATTAATTGGTATCTGGTGAGCAGATACATTAATTGGTTGTTGTATTATTTGTTGAGTCGGTTGTGGCGTTAATTGTTGATACTGAATTGGCTGTTGTATCATTTGTTGTGCAGGTTGTTGCATCAATTGTTGATATTGAATCGGCTGTTGTATTGGTTGAACTAATTGTTGCATTGGTTGAACTAACTGTTGTACTGGTTGTTGAGTTAACTGTTGAACACTTTGCTGTGATATCTGTTGAGGTTGATATTGAGTAGATTGTTGAATAATCGGTTGCATTGCAATTTGATTCGGTTGTTGCGCCAATTGCGGAATAGATTGTTGACTTATCTTTGACTGTTCTTCAATTACTTGTTCTCTTTGTTGAGCAACTTGTCCTTCATATGGTGGTTGAATATATTGAGGTCGTTGTGCCAATTGTTGATAATTAGCTTGAGTTTCTGACACTGCACCTGACACTTGCTTAGTTTCAAGCGGTTTCTGTACTTGCTTTTGTTGCTGTTGTAATAATTGTTGTTGATAATTCTGTTGTTGTCGCAATAAATCTTGTTGCTGCTGTTGTTGAAGCAATTGTTGTTGATTTTGTATTTGTTGCTGTTGTACTTGTTGTTGATTTTGTATTTGTTGCTGTTGTACTTGTTGTTGTTGCATTTGTTGCTGTTGTTTTTGAAGTTGTTGCTCTTTTTGTACTGGTTGACTCTGTGCCTGTTGTTTTTGCATTTCCTGTTGTTGTGCTTGTGTTGGTTGCAACGTTCTAAATTGCTCTTGTTGAACATGAGATTGTAAGTTTTCTTGTGGTATTTGTTGTTGATATTGAACAGGTTGTTGGTACTGAATCGGTTGTTGATAAGCCATTGTAATTTGTTGAGGAGCATATTGTTGCGACTGCATTGTTGGATATTGATAATTTAACATTTGATAATCATTATACGCTTGTTGTATTTGTTGAGGAGTTTGCAATTGGTGCATTTGCTGCTGTTGCAATTGTTGTTGGTACATCTGTTGTAGTAATAGTTGTTGTTGCTGTTGTTGTTGTAATTGTTGTTGCTGTTGTAATTGTTGTTGTTGCTGCTGTTGTTGATACGCGGGAGGAACCACAACACTTTTAGAATGTCCTTGTTGAACTCTTGATTGATTATTGGTAACAGTCTTCGGTTCGTTAGTAGTATTAGGACTATTTTCGACATGTCGACTAAAATATTCATCGGAAAATACTCACCAATCCCTTTTCATACGAAATCCAACAGATTTTGTGGTTATTTTCTTACCTTATGATACCGTGATAATCGCTGGGCACCGATTTAGGTCGAACTTTAGGCGCCGGTTTTATACAAAGACTTGTTCTAACATGCAAAGCGAGTAACTAATTTAATAATTTAGCGTATTGATGACTCACCCTGTCGGTTCTTGAGCCTGATGGGACATCGGGGACTGGTTGTGAATTATCTAAATTAATGAAACAAATTAAATTACAATATTTAAGTTAACTATTTAATACACAGAAGGTGATTTCATTAAATTTTCAAATTATTGTAGATTTATTAGAAGCAATTTGGAAAAATTTGAAGTATTATTGATTTTAATCTTTCTCTTGTACTGCAGTAGCTCATAAGTTAGGCACGAGAGTGCGGTAGACCAGACATCTCGTGGAAAAAATGCCCCGTATGGAACACACGAGGCCTAATGCTGAGAGGAAATACATATTGTAGAGAGAGAGTTGGAAAAACCGGCAATAGATCTGTGGCATATCCGAAACGCATTAGAGTGGCAAGGAACACTTTGAAACTTTGCAACATTGTCGGACAACACTGCTTAATTCAGTTTGCAATACGTAATAGATTAGTAATAGGAAAAGCCCAGATGGTAAACAAAAATCAAATTGACTATACATTGATGCGAAGCAGATGGAGAACATCAATAAGAAAAACTAAAACAAGACCAAACGCAGTATGCGGTTCGAACTATAATAGTCTACTACCAACCGCCCAAAAAACAAAGTCCAAACAAACTTATGAATGCACTAGCGACGGAGCAGCTATAAAATCAATTAGAAACATTACTAAAACCAGAATACTTTGAAAATCTCAACGCATTATGGAACAACACAAAAACTTGGACAAAAAAAGCAGTACATAACTTGAACTGCATAACCAAATTGATGACAGAGACTCTAACACAAGAAAATATTGTAGATGAGCAACAACAAACCAAACTAATTAGAATGCTTGTATTCGTAATCATCCTATACGGTGTAGAATCCTGGACTATCAAAGAAGCTGATAGAAAAAGGATTAAGGTTTTCGAGATATGGTGCTAGAGTCGAATGCTGCGTATTCCCTGTACAAAGAGACGTACTAACATATCGTTGGTCCCAAGCCAAAATGGCATAAATGTCAAAATGGCCAACGGTCAAAACGAATTTTTAAATCTACATCGAACAGCTAAAGCGGCAAAACTGGCGAAATCAAGCAAATGTCGTTTATGCCATTTTGGCTTGGCAGGGTCGATATCTATACTGATAGAGCTTGAGATCAAAGACAGACTGTTCAACATTTTAAGCATGTAATCAGAAGAGATGGAGATAACATGGAAAAAGTTATAGTCAAATGAAAAGTAGAAACCAAGGGATAAATCACCAACTAGGTGGTTGGACCAAGTAAAAGAGTTAACAGACACATGAATGAATTAAAAGAAAGTTTATGAACAATTCGATGCAGAAGATTTGTTTTTGAATCATTGAACTTATTTCACAAACCAATTTTATTGACAAAGTACACACTGATATTGTCAACGCAATGAAATTAAGTCTAAATGTGCCTAATCGTTTGAAGTGGTGGTGGAACGGATAAAAGGCCTAATTAGTATCTCTTTTAGGTGTTGGACACTGCAGATAATAATCAAGTTCAACCCCAATAGGAATACACCCCCCCCCTTTTTTCATTGAATACAAGTTTATTTATATCAGGTTTGTCTTTAGCAACCTCATTGTAACAATCCCAATACGATATATAAAATCTCTTGTTGCAGTTTCGTCTAGTTTTCTTCTGTTCGCTTGTAATTCATGATCACATTCATTACTAACAGAACTGTCGCTGTTATCACTTTCGATTATTAATTAAAGTATTCTCTTCTTAATGCAAAAAGCCGTTTTGAAAAATCACTTTCAGTTCTTGAGAAATAAATGTTTGAAATGATCGACAATTTTTTCGAATTTTGCAATTTTCGCCGATTAAGTTTTAAAAATTCGTATAAAATCCATTTCTTGGAATATGAGTATGAAAATTTCCCAAAGTGTTAATAAAAGTGTCCTCTTTCCAATGAACCAACCCGTTTTGAAAAATAACTTTTAGTTTTTGAGAAAACAATATTTGAAGTTTTGATAAAATTTTCGATGTTGCAATTTTCATCGATAATTTTCAAAATTCGCTATAAAATTAATTTCTTGAAGGATCCTTGTGGAAATATCACCAATTATTAATCAAAGTATCCTCTTTTTAATGCAACAAGCCGTTTTGAAACATCGCTTTTAGTTTTTGAGAAATAAATATTTGAAATGATCGACAATTTTTTCGAATTTTGCAATTTTCGACGATTACATTTAAAAAATTCGTATAAAATCCATTTTTTGGAATATGAGTATGAAAATTTCCTAAAGTGTTAATAAAATATCCTCTTAGGGTTGCTTCGTTAATTAAATCAGCATCAAAAAAGTTCATTTTGTATCTTGGATGCAAATAACTTGTTAATAATGTGGCAATGATAGAAATAATGATCCGATGATGGCCGGATAACCGGATATCCGAAATCCGGCTTTTCGCAAAATCACTATCCGTTCCATCACTAGTTTGAAGTAACAATTTAATCTTCAACAACTTGGATCTCCACATTTTGAAATTGAATACTATGCGATAAACAATGAGAAAAAATAAGTTTAGATCGATATCACATAAATAATGCAATTTCTTATCACACTGAACACGATATTTCGTCCTGATAAAGAGAGAGAAAAGGAGGCAAGAATCGATAATATGCACATGCGAGTGTGGTACCAAATCCAGAATATCATCGAAGTGTAGTAGAGGTAATAAGAGGATGATTTACCTCCAACGTTGTATCTAAAACGGGATTGACAAAAGGTGCGGTTTTTGCAGCGATTAATCAATGTAAAATATGTCATTTAACAAAATCACCTTATTTTTCTTTAGATATGTTAATATTATTATTATTTTCTTACCTGACCCATGCTACAAGGTGGTCTTGGAGCACCATATCTTCCGTATGGTGTTGAAAAATTGGATTGTAACCCGTTAGCGGCCTGGTTAGATTTAGTTGTAGGCCTATGATTTATTTGAAAGCGATTAGTTTTGGTTTAAATCCATCACCAAAATGTACAAAGTTAGTACATTAAATTTAGATTAATTTATTTAAGATGATTTATTTATACAAGGTGTATTTGAAACACTGAGGAGTTACGTTCTTTTAAAAAAATTGATTCAAATACGCCTTGTAGATGAACAAAAATGATATTTATTTATTTTATTTATAAGGGAAGTTTAAATTAAATACTCACACTTCTGAGTTGTCCCCTTTGGCTGATCCGCCAACGGGTTCGGGAAAAAATCCATCGAAAACAACGAAATTATTCATTTGGCGAACTGGATTATCCAGCGCATAATGTTTGTTTAAAAATCCCAAAAATTTATCGCTCGGTCTATCGATAGCCAATTTTACCGGTTCGACCTTTTCTTCCTACAAAATAAAATTAATAATAAATTTATTAACACAAAAACTTTAATTTAACACAAAGAAATATTGTCCGTAAAATCCGTTATGAACAAAAAATTTCATTTTTATTCGCTAAACAACCTTCGTTGACGACTTCAAACCGAGTACTATGTATTTTATTGTGCCATTGCGTGATAAACTTAACGAATTGGGTCAGAATACAACCAATAGATATCGTGGCGTATTCGATTTCATTTAAAGTATAAAATAATTAAAATCTTACCGCCAACATATGCTCAAAAAGAACCTTCCCCAAACCCATTCTCTGTTTAGATTCATAAATACAAAAGTCCAAAACGCATAATGGTTGAACTTGGTAATGATGACCTTCCCGATCGAAAACGTAAAGCCCTTTTTTACCAGTTTTCAACATTCCAGTTACAGCTCCACGTCCACTAAAAGCGCAAAAAATTAAAATAAATTAATTTAAGTTTTCTCTAAACTTTAAAGAATCGACCCTAATAACCATCAAAGAGTAACAGATGGTTTGTTCATGTTTTTCTCTAATGTCGTGAGAGTTACTGTAAAATTTAATGAACTTAACGGTCTGTTGGACGTTATATTATTTCTAAACTTAAATGTAGGTTAACGAAATCGTGGTTTAGATGATTTCATTCTTTGCGCAAAATTAGAACTTTATAAGCTCGGAAGTGGCGGAAAGTTCACCATCTAATTATCCATCGTAACCTGTTAGTTTTAAATGGCGAACTAAATTGACCTGTAACACGCACAGTTCCGTCGCGATTCTTTGCGATTCCGGTACCAGACACCTAAAATTCCATCATAGTTACAGGTCGTACCAGCGAAATCATAAATCTATTTTTGAAACCAACTTAGAATTACTTAAATAAACTGCGAAAATTCGATTGAAGTTAACGTTTGTGTCGTCCTTTTATATTTGAGTATGTTTACAACTGTTACAAAACCGTTGATAACGTTTAGGAATGCAGTTGAAACCCACATTTGCATTCACTAAGCTAACTCACATTACCAAAGCACGTATTAACAACAAACGTACACACAACACATTTCCTTTACGAATTCATTACAAGCGAAGAAGAAAGCAAAAAAGATTATTTAAATTGATCTTGTGTGTTGTTGGCAGTTTGCCCATAATGATTCTAATTTAAAAGTAATTCCCTTCGCGAGATCATTTAATGTTTCACCTTGACACGAAAAGTGTTGCAATTTCTCAAAATTTGAAAACCGATAATTTCCTCGTAATTTGAAATCAATAAGCGTTTCTTATTATTAAACTTACTTATTAGTATCTCCGTCGATTAAGAAATACAATTTTTGTTCAGAATTCCTTAGTCTTTCCGAAGTCGTGATGGGCTTGTTCAAACCTTGAGCAGCAGCTGAAGCATTTCCCATAGTGTTTACAATTTCTGATACTTTAGTCACAGCATCCCTAAAAAAAGTTATTATTATTATTATGGGAATAAAAGTTTGATCAATGAAAAATTAATTCCAAGAAAATTGTATCGTTTAATTTGAATAAATATCGTGTCGAATATAAAGTTTTATGTTTCAGGTCAAGGAAAATAGAGGATAGTGGTTGTATCTAGAAATAATACGGTGATGAAGGTGTTATTGATTTGTTATAAATAAAATATCAAGAAATAATTGAGATATCGAAATGAAATCTATTTTAATGCGAATTTATTTAGGATTAGGAGCATCGATATAAATTATTTAATTCTTATTAATTTGGTTCTAATATTGTTTTTGAGTTAAACCGTAAATATTCATCAAATCATATCTCAAGAATTAAATGAGATATGAAAATCAAATGAAAAAACACAAATTTAATCAAGATTGAGTTCAACGACAATAATTATTTAATTCCTATTGATTTGGTTTTAATAATATTTTGATTACCCCTCTTGACCAAGGGAACCAAAGACGGATAATCAACATTCAACATTTCTTACAAAATCCGCGCGTATTCAGCACAACGCAACGTCTTACGTGGAGTATTTACTTTTCGAAACAGCGGATGAACGATAAAGTCCTTGTTCATTGCAGCAAGAAAGCAAGAACTCAAAGTAATTATTGCGTAACCGGGAGATTATGCCATAAATTAATAACAGAGTATGTGGAATTGACGAAAAAGTCATTAATACTGATAAATTATGTATGATGACAGTTCCTCTTCAATGAACTCCTCTAAATACTCATGGAAGACAGGTTAGGTATAATAATCAAGGAAATGAGAGAAATGACAGAAGAAAACAGCAATTATTATGGAACGACAACGCAGCTAAATAAAAAAAAGAAAACAAAGAAATCATTAATTAAAGAACTTGAAGATCGGAATAGAAAAGTGAAAAAGAGAAAAGAAAGATAGTAGAATCATAGTAATTGGTTTATGAACCAAAACACCTGATTCAATTAGTAAAATACATAAACTCTTATCGCACAACCTGAATGTGGTCGTAAAGATAAAAACAGTAAATAAGATTAATACGAAAATGTGTCTAGTAGGGTTGAATGATTTACAAGAGAAAGTGAAAATACTGAATTAAAAGAATCCTGAGAAATTCAAATAGACGATAAGAACGAGACAATATTAGGAGAGGAAACTGATTTAATAATGGAAAGAATGCTTCGAAGGGATTCTAAATGTAAATGAGCTTGAGAATCAATACATCAGAAGATGAAAGTATAATAGTACCGATGGAGCAGATAGAAAATAAAGGTTTTAAATGAAATTCTGCACAACAGATAGCAAAATATATAGAAGCAGAAACTAGAACTAACACTAGCAATATCAAGACTATTAAAGCAAATTTTTCTTTGCTATAAGTTGCTTTAAAAAATAAATAGCAAGACTACCCATTTAAGAAATCCCATAGAATTACTGCTATTGGTACTGAAATACAATGCAAGACTTAATGCTTCATACTATGATATATTAATTTTAACATATGGGTTCGAAATATTTGGGAAACCATTGCAAGTGACAATACATTTATCTATGCTAAATATGCCAGAGATACTAGAAAAATGTAAAAGATCTGTGCAAGGAGAAGCTGTAGAAACTGGAAAATAGATGATGTGGTCCAGAAGAAATAGCGACAGAGATGTTGAAAAATTCCAATCAATATCTAAAATAAAAATTGATAACAAATTATCGGAATCATTTCCAGTCAAAGTATTGTATGTACAGGTGTCCAAATTACGATGGGTTTGAAGGATATCTCAGTTATTATGAAAGATAGAAAGTTGCGGCTTTCGCGAACCTGAGCTACTTTTTTGTGAAACTAACAATGGCGCAAACCAAATTTTCATAGCCCTCTTCGTTTTTGATATACAGAAAGTGTTTCAAAATTTACGATTTTCAGACACCTCCTGTATCTCGGATGCTGCAACCTGACGCAAACAACTGGTTGGCTCCATGGTAAAATTTCCAATCACCATCTCCGCCAGTTCATCTACTACCTTATTAGTATGCCTTTTCTTGTTCTCTACCGATTCAGTTACTTCAAATTTTTGCACGAACGTATTTATGCTCCATATGCTTATTTGGATGTCTTTGATTAAAAACCCTTGCTGTTACACGAGCACATTGCTTTCAGCAATAGAGTACACTAAACACAATATTCGGGAACCATTTTGGACTCCACAGGCACAGATGACAGAGAAATAAGATCATGCAATGAAGAAAGATAAGGGTCTTTAAACAGAATTCTGTGGAGTACGGAGATAAACAAACAAAAAGTTAAAAAAATTTAACATCTATAACATACTCATCAAGAAGTCACTAGTTAACTAAAATGGATGCTCTGAGAAGATTTTAAATGGTTCAAACCCTGTAGTTCTGCGTTAGTCTGTAAATCAATGCAAATTATAGCTTGTTATGCAGAGAAACTGGACGGCAGAAAGTCTGCGATGTAAAAATGAAACATCACAAAAGATGAAAATATATATCACTGTGCAAAGAAGACGTGAAGGAATCAGAAAATAGTGTCACAACTCATCTTCGCCTGCTGATTATGAATTCCCATCTTTTAAAGGTGCGAGATGTTAATTTTATTCCCCTATAATTGTCATATTTAGTCACGTCACCAATAGTTTTGTAAAAGATGACTAAGTAGCTAAATCGCCACGATTCTGGTATTGACCCGATCGCGCGTATTTCACTAAATAGTCTTGTAAGCCATTCCAATCCAATGGAGCCAAGCTTTTTCCACACTTCTGCTGGGATCGAGTCACTTCATCGAGTCCGATCTCCTTGACTGGCCCTTCAACTGGTGGTAGAAGATCCATCTCTGCTTGCTATAGTATTCATAGCACCTACTGTTTATGTCACCGTTCATCGTTAAGAGTCTTTCGGTCAAACTTTTGGTGTATTTACTTCTCTTTATATCCTAAGCTGTGTATTATTACAAAAATAATAGTAAATATACAAAAATATTTGTTAATCAAAAAATGAAATATGAAAAATAGTGTTAATCATAATATTAAGCCTATTATTCTAGAAAAATGTAAGAAAATGAATCTGAAGAATGCAATTCAAGCGATCAATCCAAATTTCTCTTATCTCATAAATGATGTGATATACTATTCGTACACTTTTGAAATTTTGCATTCCGTACATGTTTTGATAAATTTCCCAATATAAGAGAAACTACAATAAGGAGGTATAGAAATGTTTATAAATTGATAGACTGTTTAAAATTTTTAACCACCCTGTATGAGAAACTCCGATACAAGGAATAACAATCGATTTGATAGCATCTGTGCTCGAAGAGCAACAGCAAGAGTGCTCGTGCCAATTTAGAGCTTTTTGCTAAACGATGTTATGGTCTACTTCCGGTAGACCGGATGTAGCGACCATCTTGAAAGTTATTTCATAGCATTTTCCAGTCGATACAAAAGTGTATAACATCAACTAGGTTAGTTGGCTTTTAAAAAGATTCCTCATATCCACACGATAAGGGGTCGTCAAGGGTGCGGTTATCAATACATTTTATGAAGTCAGAAGAAGCCCTAAAAAACTAAGATCATATTAATTCAAATATATTTTCGGAAAGAATATATTTAAGTGTATTGATTATTTAATTCCAGTTCCTCTTCCTATAGCGTTGCAACTCGCTGTCGAACCTTCCTTTCTCTCGCCTTTCTCTTACAATTCTTCCATTTCAGCCCCCACATCAAGAGTCTCCTCCTATCTTCTCCATGGTCTTCCCTTATGTCTTGCCCCCTGCATTTTCCTATTTATCAATATTCTAGGTACCTTTCCTTCTTCCATTCTGGCAACATGCCCAGCCTATTGCAGCCTTCGAATTTTTATGTAACTGGATATTTCTGCTTCATTGAGGTGGAGCTATAATTCATGATTGCATCGAATTTTCCTGCACTGGACTCAGAATTCTCCTCAGAATCTTTCTCTCGAATATATTGACAAATTCTGTTAGTTTATGTGTTAATATATAATATGTTTTGGTTCAAGAATTCTATAGTTTCTAAAAGTTCTGAACCTTTCTACAGACACACATTGCATATTATACTTATACAGGGAAAGGTTCAGAACTGTTGGGAATTATAGAACTCTTGAACCAAAACAGACTCATCATGGTGTTATATATTTTGATTTTTATGTTGCGATGTATTGTTCTGCTTTTAAATATGTTTGCAAGAGCAAAGTAAGCTTTGTTGGCAAGCATAACTCTTTACAGGTTTGATTTGGTTTTCTGTAATCTTGTTGGTCATGATTTTAGTTCCACTATGGAGCATGAGTAGCATGACTTTTGTATTTTCCCTACTAATCTCCAACCCAATCGTTTCCGCTACTTCCTTCAACGTTTCATATGTCTCCTCTGCTTCTTTCCTTGTTCTGCTCATGATATTAAATGTCGTCTTGGTATGTAGCCAGTTGGATTGTTTTATTGATCAGCAGGTTGGCTCTTCCCATTTTCATCTTAATTTTATCTTACTTCCAGTTAATTTAGTGGTAATTATTATTAAAATACAACTCTACATCTTTATGGTGGATAACCTCAAATTAAAATCATAAAAACTAAATAAGATGTTCAATATATAATAATAAATATTATATTTAATTCAATTTGATAAATTTTATCTGTTTAAAAATGTAATAAATAGAATAGAACCACTTATGATAATGAAATCAAATATATTTTTAATTTAAAATTATTAATTTATTACTTAAAGGTGAAGTTTATTTTAACGTCAGTTGTAGTAACCTCAACAATAATTTAATACAATTACATAACCTTGGAGTGGAGATATACGCAGATTATAATTGCACTTAACCAAACTAAATTAGATTAAAAGATGCAACATTTCTGATTATCTAAATTTGTTGATTTAGATATGATGTCATTCTAGTACAACTTCAAAGAATTAAAAAAAAACTTTAAAGTAATCGCATGACTAAAAATTGATTAATATTTGTTTTTAAAATTAGCAGGAATTCATTAGCATTTTCATTAAAACATATTAAATTTACTTTTTCTTTGTTATTTTCAACGATTAACTACATTACTAACTGTTCGTCTAATTTAGATGTTAGTTCAAAACCGTTTTAAGTAACTGTTCGCAAATTGTTTTGATACCAGTTACATGTTTTTTTTTTGTTTTTTTAAAAATTTAGGTGATTAAAGTTTCAAAAAAAAACCATAAAAGATAAAGACCGGATACACTACATTAAAACGTAAAAAAAAAATAATTTGAATCCTGCTAACCGTGACACAATATTTACGGTTTAAGGTCAAAACCTGTCGAGGTCGAAGGCCGTACACGTTTTTAAAGTCAAAAACGTTACGAGAATGACCAAGAATGACGAAGACTATGACTCATTTTACTCACCACAACGCCCTTTTATCCGTATAGGACACCCCCGGTGGTATTAAACTCGGTCCTATCTCAACTATGGGCTGTTTAAAAATATCGTTTACGTTGAAACGAAACTCCATGTCGGGTTTATCCCAAAAAAAATAATCGTCAGATAATTTTCCAAAACCGGAAACACAAAGTACCGGAATCGACCAAGAAGAATTAACCCAGCGGAAAACGAACAGGTGCAATAAGATCACTGACTCTCCTCAAAGAGACAATAATTACACTACTATTAATGTTTTTTTCTGGATTCTCGGGCGATAGCAATCATCTCTTGTTAGATGATTTTGTAAAATGTATTGTAAACGTGATGCCGTGTTACACGAAAAAAGAATATTCGTAAAATGTAAAATGACGTGACAGGTGACGAACAATGCACCACAAACGCTGTTTGAAAGGAAACTGAACGCGCACGTTTTGTTTCCGAGGTTTCTGGGCGTCTCTGTGCGCGGTTTGCTGGGATTTCAGAGAGTTTGCGCCGCCGCCGCCGCCACCGAGACGTCGATTTTTGCCGTCTTTAATCTTTACAAACCATAAGAGGCTTTGTGGAGGCGTGCAATATTGAAATAATTAAGTTTTTTTTAATAATGTTTAATCAATATGTCAATAAAATATGTTTTTAATAAAATTTAAAAAAAAATTATTAATTTAACAATCATCATTTTGAATTAATTGAGATATAAACAATTTTAATATTGAAAATAAAAAATTTGAGGATTTTTCGATTTTATTTTATAATTTGGTTATAATCAACATCATCCCATGATTAATGATATTCCTCTAGTACATAAAGGTATTTAATTGTGTATTTTTCAAAAACTCTATAATTTGGCGATTCTTAAATAAATTTAAATACATCTGGTCAATTCTGTTTTTAATAAACCAACAGAAGTGGATTTATTGATTGGTGCGGAGATGTTTTGGAGGTCATTGTGTGTTGGGCGAATATCATTGGGACATAATTAGTCTCAACCACATAAAACAGGTTATGGGTGGATAATTTCTGGCGAAACAACTTCAATTCCATAGCCTCAATTAATCTCAATAATGTAATTTGAAATGATTATTTCTTCTGCAATCTTAGATAGACACAGTTCAAATTTGGTGAACTCATAATGGCTGAACAACCTGAATTCGGTTTTGAGTACAAATTTTTTCCATATAGATAGGCAAGATTCTAACAATAATTACCTGAAGAGGTTTAGACCCAACTTTCTCGTATTCTTTTATGGCACTAATAGATTAATAAAATTTAAACGTTTCTATTCATTCGGAAGCATTTTGGTGTCTTTGTACATCTTTTAGGCATCAATTTTTCATAAAAATATCAAAATCAGACTTTCTCCGAATCTAAATATATTGGGATACATCATAACTCACTGTTTTATTTTCAAGTTCTCTGATTTCTTTCTGTATTTTATTTGGCATAAATATGAAACTCCTAAAAGAAACTATAGAATAATCAGAAATTTTGCCATCTATTTACCATAGATGTTTAATAAAATCAATACATCTAGAAAAAGAAAAATGTGTTTTTTGTAAGTACATTTTGAAGAACATTTTGATCTGTTTTAACCTCCTTTTTATTATATTTTGTAATTTTTTGTATTCGGAAATACAATTTTTACAGATATGTAAGAAATAAGGCAAAACAAAAACTCAGAGTGAGTATGATGATTTAAATTTCCTTTCTGACATAACATAATAAAAAGGACACGAGAAAACAAAAACAGAATGAACCCAAGATAAAAGAAAACCAGAAAGCTGCAATAAGAAAAAAATCAGCGAACTATTTTGACTTAGTTTTATCTTAATAGTCAAAAAGATGAAAATAGCTAAAAGATTAAACAAAAAAAGACTTAAATCTCATTCCTTGGTTATTAAATTTATAATAATGTCAGAAATAAGGCAAGGAAAGAAACCCAAATGATAGGTGTATCTGAATTAACAGTATAAAGAAAGCAAGATGAAAACCAATAAGATGTCAGAATAAAATTTGGCTTCCTATTGCATTATTTAATCTAAAAATTATTCTGTAAATGTCCCAGCATCTTTAGACTATATTTTTTTTCTGATAAAAGAAAACCAGAAAGCTGCAATAAAAAAAAATCAGCGAACAATTTTGACTTAGTTTTATCTTAATAATCAAAAAGATGAAAATAGATAATTAAGAAAGACTTAAATCTCATTCCTTGGTTAACAAATTTATAATAATGTCAGAAATAAGGTAAGGAAAGAAACCCAAATGTTAGATATATCTGAATTAACAGTATAAAGAAAGCAGGATGAAAACCAATAAGATGGCAGAAAATGTCAGAATAAAATTTGGCTTCCTATTGCATTATTTCTTTCTTCTATCTAAAAATTATTCTGAAAATGTCCCAGCATTTTAGAATATTTTTTTTTTCTGCTTTCTATCTGGAATCATTTTTTATTCACATGAATCAGAAAGAAGTTAAAATAAGTTAAGTTTTTTGTTAATATAATTCATGCTATAAGTATAAAAGCAGAAAATGTTTAGAAGAGTTTGGCTCACTACCACCTTATTTCTATCAGCATAATATTGCATTTGAACAGCAACAATGTTTCCATTATGCTAAACGAACCCTAAGTTAGGGAGAAGTATACTTTTTGGAGCGTCTTAGTTACCTCTCAATTACATACTAAGGGGATATTGAAAAATGTTGGGGTGTAGCAACAAAAGTGCTATCATTCCAAAAGTATCATAATGATTATATGATTACAGTTTGTACGATTTCTTGATTCCAGAGATGATGGTTGATTCTAATATCGAGTGGACACGATTCCAGCAATTTCTAAATGATTCCAGTGTCCTATGTAGATGCCAGTATCCAGGTGTTAGCTGCATTATCCATAGTGATTGGATCCTGTATCAAGAATTCTGGCGTTCTTTTTCTGCACAGCATCCATAATGACTCGTTGCTGTATTCAGAAGTTGCTTTTATTCAATATCTATAGTGATTGCTACCAGAATCCAGTCTACAGTTATTGGGTGCAGTATGGGTACTCTGATTACTTCCAATATCCAGAAATTAGAGTGTACTTAGTGATTGCTGCAAATAATTCGAGGTTTCAGTCTATTTAATGTGAGTTGTATTAAAGTATCGTTACTAATTAAGCAATTTAATTAAAATTGCATAACATACTAACCATGTATGTATCTAATATCTAAAGTTTTGAAAATTGTTTTATATGTTTTCAGGTTAAGTGCAATTTTCGATCCTTCCTTGTCAAGATAGAGTCTTTCCTGCATTTTGTGTGGTAAATGGAGAATTTCGAATATTGTTAGGACAATGTTATCTCAAAGCCGAAGTTTATGGCTTTGAGATTATCCCACAGAAAAATATCGCAGATTTAAATCAGGTGAGTGCGCAATTCGTGGAATGTCGTTTCAAAAGGAACGATTTCTGATATCACGATTCCACGATATCAAGTGCCCAGGAAACATTTATGTCAAAGCGTGCATTTTTGCTCGCGCTGTGTGATCCATCGTTTCACCCTGTTGTAGCTAAAATTATTCTACTGAAGCTCTTCAAGGCTGGAGCAACAGATTTAAATTCAATATTTAGGGATTTCATAAAATGTTTGAATTTCTAAGCAGTTCCTGGTCTTTTGAAAACTGAAATATGGATTTGCGCTGATTTTATTGAAGGTTTTCAATGATTTTCAACGATATCCAAGAACTGTGAGATTTCTAAGGAATTTTTTATTTGATGTGTCTCATGATATTGAAAGAATGGAATCTTGGACTATTTCCAAGAATTTCTTAACGACTTTAGTAGATTTTAATGGATATCCAAGTATAGCCAATTTATATTATCTGGAATTTATTTAAATGCATCAACATTTTCAAAGTATTTAGAACTAATTTAAGATGATCTTCAGCGAATTTCTAATCAGTTTCTGAAATCTCTCATCGATTTTGATAATTTCTTAGACAATTTGCAATGATTTGCAATAACTTCCTAGAACTCTGAGATTTTTTGGAGTATTTCTAAAAATTTTCTGAAATGTTTCATGGAATTCAAAGAATATCTAAAATTATCCAGGGATATCCTAGAATATATGGAATATATTTGGATGCCTCAAGACTTTCAGAGTATTTCCAAGAATTCAAAATGATCTTCAGTTTTTATTAAGCACGTCCTGGTTTTTTAAAAGATTAAAAATTCTGTTAAAGGTTTCTTGTATTTTTTGGGGTTGTATCTGGAATTTTTCAAGATTTTTCACAGATTCTAAAGGATATCTTATGGTATCCAAGAATTTTAAACAATTCTTCTAGAAGTTTCTAGGAGTTATTAGAGATGTATTTGTATTTCTGGTATATTTCCAGTATTTTAGAAGATTCTCAATGCTTTCCAAAGATTCTTAAAGATTTTCAACAGTTTCCGAGAACTGGATAAGATTTCAAAGGGCTTCTGGTATCATTTTAAATACCTCTCAAAAGGTTTTAGAGTATTTTTAAAAATTTCCAGAATATTTCCAAGTATTACCTGACAGTTTTTGTAGTATTTGCGATTTATTGGACATATATCTGGATTTCTGCAAACTTTCCAAACATTTCCCGATAAAATTTAAAGAGTATTAATAAATACAAAGATTTTCAGAGTTTTTTTAAGGATTTCTAAGACTTATTTAGAAGCATATCGAGTATATCGAAAGTATATCGAAAGGTTGAATTGAATATCTGGCATTTATTTAAATGCATCCAAATTTTCAGAGTATTTAGAACTAATTTAAGATGATCTTCAGCGAATTTCTAATCAGTTTCTAAAGTCTCCCATGGATTTTGATAATTTCTTGGAAGATTTTCAACGATTTTCAACAACTTCCGAAAACTGTGAAAATTTTTGGAACATTACTAACAATTTTCTGAAAATTTTCATGGAATTCAAAGAATATCTAAAATTATCGAAGGATATCCTAGAATGTATGGAATTCATTTCAGTTTTCATTAAACACTTCCTGTTTTTTCAAAAAAACTAAATGTTTTGCTAAAGGTTGCTGCATTTTTTGGAGTTGTATCTGGTATATTTTTAAATTTTTTTAGTTTTTCGCAGATTTTAAAGGATATCTTATAGTATCCAAAAGTTTTAAATAATTTTTCTAGAAGTTATTGGAAATGTATTTGTATTTCTGGTGTATTTCCAGTATTTTAGAAGATTCTCAACGCTTTCCAAAGATTCTTAAAGATTTTCAACAGTGTCCGAGAACTGGATAAGATTTTAAAGGGCTTCTGGTATCATTTAAAAATTTTCAGAACATTTCCAAGTATTGCCTGAGATTTTTGTAGTATCTCTGATTTATTGGCCATTTATCTGGATTTTCAGAAACTTTCCAAATTTCCAAACATTTCCCGATAATTCTTAATGAGCATTAGGAAATCCAAAGATTTTCATAGTTTTTTA